AAAACCAACAACACAATTAAATTACCAGAAAAGCCGGAAGACCAGGGGAGACCACAAGAAATTTCACCAAAAAACCTGAAGACAGAAATTAATTAGTAAAATCCGAACAGAAAAAAACCCCAACAATACAATTAAAATTACCAGAAGCCGGAATACCAGGTGAGACCACAAGAAATTTCACCAGAAATCGCCAAAAGGCCTAAAGACATAAAATTAATTAGTAAAATCTGGAAAAATAGAAAAAAAAACCAACAACACAATTAAAACTACCAGAAAAGCTGGAAGACCAGGGGAGACTACAAGAAATTTCACCAAAAATTGTCGAAAAACCTAAAGACAGAAAATTAACTAGTAAAATCCGGAAGAACAGAAAAAAACCCCAATAACACAATTAAAATTAACAGAAAGCCGGAATACCAGGGGAGACCACAAGAAATTTCACCAAAAATTGCCGAAAGATCTAAAGACAAATAAAATTAATTTGTAAAATCCGGAAAAACAGAAAAAAAAACTAACACAATTAAAATTACCAAAAAAGCCGGAAGACCAGGGAGACCACAAGAAATTTTACCAAAAATCATTGAAAAACCTAAAGACAGAAAATTAATTAGTAAAATCCGAAAAAACCCCAACAACACAATTAAAACTAACAGAAAGCCGGAATACCAGGGGAGACCACAAGAAATTTCACCAGAAATCGCCGAAAGACCTAAAGACAGAAAATTAATTAGTAAAATCCGAAAAAACAGAAAAAAAAACCAACACAATTAAAATTACCAAAAAAAGCCGGAAGAACAGAGAGACCACAAGAAATTTCACCAAAAATCGTCGAAAAACCTAAAGACAGAAAATTAATTAGTAAAATCCGGAAAAACGAAAAAAAACCCACAATTAAAATTACCAAAAAGCCGGAAGACCAGGGGAGACTACAAGAAATTTCACCAGAAATTGCCGAAAGATCTAAAGACAAATAAAATTAATTTGTAAAATCCGGAAAAACAAAAAAAAACCAACACAATTAAAATTACCAAAAAAACCGGGAGACCAGGGAGACCACAAGAAATTTCACCAAAAATCCTAAAGACAGAAAATTAATTAGTAAAATCCGGAAGAACAGAAAAAACCCCAACACAATTAAAATTAACAGAAAGCCAGAATACTAGGGGAAACCACAAGAAATTTCACCAGAAATCGCCGAAAGACCTAAAGACAAAAAAAATTAATTAGTAAAATCCGAAAAAACAGAAAAAAAAACCAACACAATTAAAATTACCAAAAAAGCCGGAAGAACAGGGAGACCACAAGAAATTTCACCAAAAATCGTCGAAAAACCTAAAAACAGAAAATTAATTAGTAAAATTTGGAAGAACGAAAAAAAACTCACAATTAAAATTACCAAAAAGCCGGAAGACCAGGGGAGACCACAAGAAATTTCACCAGAAATCGTCGAAAGACCTGAAGATGATGAAGATTAGTAAAATCCAGAAGAACAGGAAAAAAAACAATTAAAATTGCCAGAAAGCCAGAAGACCAGGGGAGACCACAAGAAATTTCACCAGGAATCACTGAAAACCCTAAAGACAATGAACTTCCTTCATAATAATAATAATTTTTAAATACTCTGTTCCATAGATCAGCACCACAAGTCTCTTCTGTCATCCAAACAAACTCGCTGCCACATTTGCATGAATCTCATAAGATCAGAAAAAAAAAGCCAACACAATTAAAATTACCAGAAAAGTGGAAGACCACAAGAAATTTCACTAGAACTCGCCGAAAGGCCTAAAGACAAAGAAAATTAATTAGTAAAATCTGAAAGAACAGAAAAAACCAATTAAAATTACCAAGAAGCTGGAAGACTAGAGGAGACTACAAGAAGTTTTACCAGAAAATCAGTGAAACATATAATTAAAATCGGAAAACCAAGGGGAGACCAGGGAGGGAGACTACAAGAAATTTCACCAGAAAATTGCCGAAAGACCTGAAAATAAAGAAAATTCGTTAGTATAATGCCAAAAAAGAAAAAAAAAAAATCAATGAACTAAAAAAAATCAAAAACGCTAAAATCAAAAAACCCAATTTAAAAAAACTTTGTATTTAAGTATTTAAGAGAAGACTGTGTTTAAACGAAGACTTTGTATTTACAGTACTTCAGTACTTTGTTTTTTGGTGGTTAGATGTTACTTTAACTTTTCAAAAATCTACATTTCTAGAATTTTTTATTAGATTCTTGAAGATCCATACATCGTTAATTTCTATTTTTAGATTTTTATAGCAGTTTTAGTTTTTTGCATCTCACCGATTTTTTTATTATGTAATGTGTACTTGTGACTTATAGTAAATCTTTTCTTTGAATACATATTTATTGAAAAATAAAATAAATAAAAAATTTTAAAAATGTAAAAATGGTCCCTTTTTATATGAGACACTCCAATATAGCCTCACTTTTGTCAGAGTACTACTATTTCCAAAATTTTGTATGCAAGGGCATCTATTAGCCTATTATCTTGGTTTTAATGCTTTTGGGTTGTATGCCAAATATGCAAAAAAGTCTTCAAAAAGAAATGTTAACCTTTATCACATAGTGTATTCTCCTTTTCAAACAAAATTTTTGCTTCTGTTCAGTACGAAATTTTGGTATAAGTAGTTATCAGGAAGAGTTGTGATATTTGTAAGTTTAATATTAGGCTATGCAAACTTAATAAATCAGTTTTTATAATCTGGCCAAGTCAAAATTTCCAAAACTCTAAAAAAAATTTCAAGTATATTTACTATCCGGATGAGTTTTTTAAAAAAAATCTAAAAAAATTTTATATGTTTTTTATATATAAAATTTTTTGAAAATAAAATTAAAAGCCAGGTTGCTAAATCACTTTTAAAAATTTTATATTATGAGAACCGATTTATTAAGTTTGTATAGTTAATATTAATAAATATTCTTTTTTTTTCCAGTTAAGAAGACCTCTTTGGCCTGAAAGCTTTTATTAGGATTTGAAATGATATTTAGTTATAACAATAGTACATCAAGCCACACGTGCACCTTTTGAGTGTCTAATTTAAGTAGTCCGCCCAAAGGTTTTACACTATTTGCCGTACCTGCACCCCAACTAGGGGGGTACTCATTTAAATTATCTAGTTTTAACCTTTCATCATTTAACCATCTAACCCTGGGATACCTCACTATTCGTATGTAGATTTTGGATTACTCTTGCAAAGGATACACCGACTGCCTTAGAACTTACCAACTATTTTTGGCTAATCTATCCTCGAGGTAAACCTAACAGAGCAGTATATATCCCACACATGTATTCACCTACATGTTTGGTAATTTCTTTCCAATTAGTACATATTGTCTGCTACCATTGTGTTCGTATCTTATGCCACCTTTTGGGTGTTGCTATAACACAATCCATATCTCAAGCCCAACCTTCCTAATTAGTTGTCTATTATGTACTCCTTGCCCTTATCTGGTTTACAACAACTCTAATACCCACATTCAGACCATTTTCTTACCCAGATTCTTTATTGGTTCCTCCCTTACTTCCAGCCAGCAACCTGAATGGGTTGGTCTGCCCAGGCTTTAGGTGCCTAAAGGATGCTCTCCTCTTGGTCCATACTTTTGGAGCGTATGCCCTTTTCCTCTGATGCGTCAGCTTAGCAGTTCGGCTAGTGTGTCCCCCCACTTAAGGACCTGGTCACTCAGTTTTCTAATCTTGAGCCCCAGTTCAAATTCAGCCCTCCTGTAGTACCGTCAAAGATCACTGCTATCTCCAAATTCGGAACTTGCCAAATGAGTTTTTGGTTATTCTGATTTCTTAGATTTATTGTGCCAAAGCTTCCATAACTAGATAGTGTGACCGAGATTACAGATATCTAAATTCAACCAATAATCGACAACTATAAACCGTAGCACAGGCTATTTTTCAAAATTCGTCGTCTATAGGATTTGAACTCTAGACCTGCCACTTGGAGAGAGTGA